ATATATCGGACATACTACCAACACGTTGAGTAGGTGCCTCACATGACACTTATCAGAACAAAGTGCTATAAAAAAGTCCATTAGCCCACAATTTATGACACCCCTTAAACTCGAAAAGCTGAAATTCTGTATGATTCACATTACCGGAAACATCCGACTATTAGAGAAGTACAGTATATTAAACATCTCTGCTACTATCAACCTCACCTTATTTAACAGTGGAAATGACGTGTTAATGTTTTTTTTAAAGAATAGAAAAATACTCACGCGAATTCCAGCCGCTGTCAACAAGCGAAGACTCGGAAAAATCGCTCCTGTTCAAAACACACACAAAAAATACAACTTAAGCAGTCAAAACATAAGGAAAAAAAAACTAACAACACCAAAAACAAACCCTCTTGAAAATGGCTGAAGAAGTGTCTGAAAGAACCTGGGACAATGAAACTTATGAAAAATGTCTCTACTTGCTTGCTCTTACAAAACGGTAAAACGTAACAGTCCTGAAGAAACTAAATATATAAAATAATTAAATCTTCCTTTTATGCTATATTTAATGAAATGTTTTAAAAAATGATTGCTGCCGAGATATACATTAATATATATATATATATATATATATATATATATATATATATATATATATATATATGTGTGTGTGTGTGTGTGTGTGTGTGTGTGTGTGTAGGAAAAAGAGCGTGAAAAGTGAAGAAGAGAAATAATCTTCACACACAATACTACCAATTTAAGTAATTTCATTATTGAGAATAAAAAATAATCTTTGTTTTCTTTCAAGTTAAATAAATGAAACAACTACAAAGTTCCTCACAAAAAGTTCAACAAAAATATTTTGTTTTTCTTTTTACAACACAAAAGAAAGAAATTACTATGAGTGAAGTGTGACTACTTTATTCGAAATTTTCTTATTTACGTTATTTTCTGTATGCGTGCAAATTCCAGCAGGAGGCAAACAAGTTATCAAAGGTGAATGTTTGTACTGCTGCTACAATTACGCTTGTTTATTTATCTCGCTCGTATATTTTTCGTGTTGTATGAATTACTTTAAGATAGAGAATTATTTGCCAGAAAGTGGTTATAGCCCAAATAATAAGTTACTTTGATTATGCGAAAAATTACTTTGAGAATCCAGTAGTATTCAGAATACTTCGGTCAAGAAATACTTAAAATTCAACTTATTAATTCATGTGATGATATTTATGACAAAAAATCGGATCACAGGAAGTTAAAAGTTAGATTTACTAAACTCAGAAATTTATTGGTTAATAAATATATTTCCTAATTTTTAATATCTAATTTTAGCAGGGAATAGGTAAGATAAATTAATATGTGGTCTTTCAATTTTTTGTGGTAAACGACAAAGATGTCTTCTGCTTTTGAATGGTTGATTGGCGTTTTAGATAACGTTGCTGACTGCTTCATAAATACTAATGTGGAAATTTGAATTTGGAGCTTGTGTGATCCTCAGTCAGTTATGTGCTATACGTGATACAAGCTTAGGCGATCATGTATCTTTTTATACATGACTGACGAGGCAGATTTCTCCCGCAGTAGGTTGCCATTTCTTTTTGCAGTAGGCCAGTTGCCATCCAAGGCTATAAAACCCGGTCTATTCTGCTATTTACCCAAAGCTGGGGGAAAAGAAGAGGATTCATACCACTCACAAGGGTATTAGCACTTAAGTGTATTTAATGGAATCGACTGGAATTCGAAATCGGCTCTCCATTTCTCAATCCGAGAAGCTATCCATTACTTCACCGTGCCTAAAATGAGTTGATGTCTGTGTGGTCCTATTTTTGATCGGAATTGAGATTTTAGAGATATTACTTAAATCTATAAAATGCTTTCTACAATTTTTAACGGAGTTCCACATATGTATTTCTATAAACGTCATGTTTGAGTTACAATCTCGAGTTTTATTTTATTAAATAGTGTAATTAATAACAACCAGCATGAACTAAGAATTACCACTAAAAAAAAAATAGTGCTCTTGACAGGAATCGAACCTTTTTCATTGGGAAATACACTTTTTAGCCAAAGTGTACCGTTACCAACTTGGCCACAGAGACCAGCCAGAGAGATAGAGCAAGGTTTGAATTACCTATTTAAGGAAAGAACTTGGCACTTCTACGAATTTATACCTGTTGTCTTCAATTTACTACCTGCAATAGGTAATTCAATCTTTGCTCATAAAAGGTTAGGAAGAAAACACCAATCAATAATGAAAAGAGCGATAACAGCTACTGGACTTTAGAAAACTAACTTCCTGAAAAATGTTTTAAGAGAAAGATTTTAGAAATGTCAACCAACTGGCTGATCAGTCAATGAATGGCAAATGTTTCCTTATAGGGCATCAGCTAATGTTACCATTAATATAACATTCTACTGGATTTAAAGTGAGAGAATATTTGTGTATTGTTATTAAGTAATAATCTGATATCCTAGGATTTACTACATCTCAATTATAATGTATAGAAAAATAAGAGAAAATAAAGACATAATCAAGATGATGACATTCCACCCTACTTCAAATAATAGGTTAGAAAGGAAAACCCAACTAGTGTTGGAAAGAGTAATAACAGCTAAAATGGATATCACATGCAATTAAAAGATAAAATAATGACATAATCAAGATGTTGACATTCCACACTACATTAAACAAAAGGTTAGGAAGGAAACCCCAACTAGTATTGGAAAGAGTAATAACAGCTAAAATGGATATCACGTGTAATTCAAAGAGGAAATGATGTCACAATGAAGATGTTGATATTCCACCCTACATCAAATACTAGGTATAGAAAGGAACTCCCTTCAGTATTGGAAAGAACCATAACAGCTACTGAATGTGAGAAACCTATTTTCCTGAAACATGTTTTAAGATAAATATTTTATAATTTTCAATCTACGATAGTTCTGGCTATTCGATTAATGAATGCCACATGTTTCTTCATGAGGAAACGTCCAGTACTATCATTATGAAATTTTCATTTGTATGGACTTGAATTGTTTAGATATTCGAATAATTGAAACAAATAAATAAATACGTGTATAGTTTTGATATAACCCTGTGAAACAGGACACTACATATGTGACTTCATTAATCGACGTCTAACTTTCAAGTTTTTTTTTTGTTGTTGCGAAAGACAGATCTCTAGTTAATGTGATTCTCAAGAGTCTGTGGCCTAATTTGCAAGCAAAGTAATCTTCCATTTACAGACACTTTGGATATCTTGTGAATATTGACCAATCACTTCCAAATATGATATTTTAAGGTTTGGGATTTGCGTAGTATATTTCTCAATAATTACTCTTTCGTCTCGTCGAAGACAAAATAATGTTTTCTATGCAAAATGAGTTCAGCCTGCAAGAACCAAATATAAAAATTTTCTGTTTCATTTTCTTATTCTGTTTTTCTTCTATAAATATCAGAATTTGGACGTACAAACATAAGTCGAGAACTCCGACGATTCCGTAGAGATTTAGAATAACTTCTGTGGCAATATAATGACAATTTTATGTGAATGATATTTTTATGCCAAAGGAGGAACTGCAGACTACGAAAATTTGAATTTCTTATATTGTGGTTCCTGAACTATTTTTTCTCTGAGCCGCATTTCGGAATGAAGAGAGACATGGTTAAAGGGAGATAACCACCGATTCGACGTCAAAACCTTAAAGTGATAACTCTCTTCTCCAATTTTCGGACCCTAGTTACTATATTATTAATACTTGCTATAATGCAAAAATACCACAATGATAAAATCGGTCAATAATTATTTATGACTATTTATACTGGGACACACGCAGGCAATTACAAGTATTCCATAATAATAGTTTAAGATATTGAAATCATATTTATTTTTGGCATGTTAATTTTTTAAAACTGTTTCTAAATCTTTGATTATCTTCCAATCATTCCTCCTCACCTGATATCCTCTCCCACCGTACCTATTAGGTGTGGCGTATCGTTTGTGAAGCACTTGTCTAGTCGATAGTAACACTTTTAGCAAGCCATAAAATCTCACCAGAAACTATCTTGAACCATTGGTATGTGCATCGAGTATTGTTGCTACATCTAGTCTATGAATCTAGAGATTAACGCAATACAAACAAGAATCTGAAAGGTTATGGCTCCTAACCTGGCATCTCGGCTTCAATCCCTTTCCCAACGCCGTGACGTAGCTTCATTTGACTTTCCTGACAATAAGTTCATGGTAATTGCTCGGATGAGCGGTACTCTTTGATACACTGACCTCATGAATTTAAGCGTAGTACTAGTTTGATAGCTATGACTCATCATTTAACTCTTGAAAAGGTTAGATGTGACCATAATTTCTTTTCTAATAGTTTCTATTCTCATATTTTTAGCCTATTGAATTTTCTTCCCGGTTCTTTCTTTCCTTTCAACTACTACTTACAAAAAAAGTACAGCGTTCATCATATTCTTCTGTCTTTTTGAACCCTGTTCTTTTTATTGTCCTTTCTTTTCGAAATGGTTTTCTTAGTTTGAATCTCTGTAATCCCTTGCGTCTTAGTCGCTTTATCGTATATCGGTGAAATGTCGCTGTGTTAAAAATAAGAGTTGACCAAAACAACCTTCCAATTCGTAATTTGTTACTGATATTTTATTCAAGAAAGGTATACATAACATATTGTGTTAAGATTATTTCTCTAATTAGTGCAGCCGGGAATAAATTATTATCCGTAATTTAAATTTTCCATGAGAGTCCTGATTCTTAAAAAAAGTTTCAAAATTAGTTTTAATAGTTCAATAATCGGTTGAGTGCTTTTCGACATGCATTTCTAACCTTTAATTTCAGTTTCGTTTGCTTTCAATCAATTCCTACTGACTTAATGGTGGACAGCAGATTTCAACAGCAGATCTGAAGCGGCTGGAAGCTATTCCATTCATTTAATGTTTTAAAACTTTGTTTTTGTTGAGGTGGGCAATGGTCAGTTTTAAATGTAACGGAATATTCTATTACATGAATATAGTGCAGTTTGAAACTTCTTGGAATATCTTGCTCAAAATCTTTCAGTAATTGACGGATTAATTGGAATACGATTACAATTTGACAACGGCCAATAGAAAGACAAGACTTTCGGTTCTTTCAATATAGCTCTACAGTCATCATTAAAGTTATATTTTGAGAAATCAGTTTTCATGTACGTCTTCGCCCTAATTACATGTTTCTATAGAACATTAAGAAATAAAATATATATATATATATATATATATATATATATATATATATATATATACATATATATATGTGTGTGTGTGTGTGCATAATATGTATATATGTAATACATAAGTATGTACTTTATATAACTATTATATATTTATAATGTTATATATATATATGTAACTAGTATATATGTATCTGTATATCTATATTGAATATGATGAACAAAATTCGATTTTCATTATAAAATCTCTCACTCCAGATAATTTGTTGTTAAAAGGACTTACAGTTGGCAGTCAGGTAACATTATCTATCTATCTATCTATCTATCTATCTATTTATTCTTATCTCGGGTTAATCGTTATCTATCTATCTATCTATTCTTATCTCGGCCTAATCGTTATCTATCTATCTATCTATTCTTATCTCGGCCTAATCGTTATCTATCTATCTATTCTTATTTCGGATTAATCGTCATCTATCTATCTATCTATTCCTATCTCGGCCTAATCGTTATCTATCTATCTATCTATCTATCTATCTATCTATCTATCTATCTATTCCTATCTCGGCCTAATCGTTATCTATCTATCTATCTATCTATCTATTCCTATCTCGGCCTAATCGTTATCTATCTATCTATCTATCTATTCCTATCTCGGCCTAATCGTTATCTATCTATCTATCTATCTATCTATCTATCTATCTATTCCTATCTCGGCCTAATCGTTATCTATCTATCTATCTATCTATCTATCTATCTATTCCTATCTCGGCCTAATCGTTATCTATCTATCTATCTATCTATCTATCTATTCCTATCTCGGCCTAATCGTTATCTATCTATCTATCTATCTATTCATAATGAAATCAAAATGCTGACCTCCCACACCACTTCAAATAAAAGGTTTAAAAAAAAACCTTAGGAAATATTTTATAAATTTTATCCAACAGTAGCACTGACTGATCAGTAAATGACTGCCGAATGTTTTATAAAGAAAATGTCTAATATTACCATTACCAATTGTATATTTATTAGAGTGTGCATTAAAAATTAATTAGGTGATCGATAGATAGATGGTTAGATAGATAGATAGATAGATAGATAGATAATTCCGTAGCCTAATGAAAAACAAAACAAAAACCAAAACCAGAAGGAAAAACAAATAATAAAGTCACACATATTTCGTACAAGAAATATTTACTTTTTTTAACATTAAGGTGAAAAACGTGAAAAACAAAACTATGCACGTAATTGATTGGCAAATATTGAGTACTTAATTGTAACCATATTCAATGAAAAGTTTCGATCAAACGTTCGGCTAATGACATCACATCCGGTTACAGATTTATTTATCCATCTTAAGTACGCAGCTTTTTTCCAGCACAGAAATGTCTTTAAACCTGCTTGGGTTTATTTCGCACTGATCATGAACAAAGAACTGTACCAAATAACAACAACGATATCACTTGAAGACTTCCAGCAATAGCAATAACTAAAATGGATAACACATGTAACCTGAAGAGAAAATAATGACATAATAATGATGTTGGCGTTCAACACTACTTTCAACATAAGGTTGAGAAGGAATCCTGATTTAATTCTGAAAACAGCAGTAACAGCTACTGAACTTGAGAAGGCTGTTTTCCTACAAATTTTTTTTAAGAGAAAGATTTTATAAATTTCAACCGACTGTGAAACTGGCTGCTTGATTAATGAGTGCTGTAATTTTCCTCATAAGGAAACAGTTAATATTACCATTTCCATTACTAATATTTTTTTTGGGAAAAACATGGCTATCTTTCTGTCTGCGTCCTGTCACACCGTCCTAAAACAATTCAGCTTTTCCGTGATGGTTGATTAAGTCCTGTAAAGACGCGGAATGAAGACATACATTGTCAGACACACACACACACACACACACACACACACACACACACACACACAACACAAAATAAAATAAAAAAAATAAAAACGTAAAATGAATACCCCACCAAAAAAAACAAAACAAAAACAAACAAACCAAAAAACAAAACAAAAAAAAAAAAACAACAAAAGACACCTTTTCCTTTCGAATCTCGACAACATCCGAAAAAATCAATAAACTCAAACAGAGAAAGTTTATAAAGTTCTGAAGATTTTTAATATCATTTGTAGATGAGAGATAGTGTATTCGCGATCTTTATAATTAGTTTGATGAATATTATCTTTGAAAATTTCCACCAAATTCTTGAATGTAGAACTTAAAATATAGCATATATGATTAAAACACTGATCCTGCAGATCAAAACGATTGTA